ACATCTGGGCGAATCAGAATCTTCACAACCTTCCATTTGCTGAAGCTTCCTGCAGACACATGCACATATTTCCAGTAGCGATTCGATTCCCTTGAACACCAACAGTGGAAAAAAGCACAATCTTCAACAAATGGAAGACACCTGATGCACAACCCCTCATCATGGGTTTTCGGTTGCAAACAAAGCCCTTTGAGCTCGCGATACCATTTGCCCTGAGCTGTCTGTGAAGACTGCAACATCCCGCAGCTGTGAACATCTATGAACTACTTAAATGCTGGGTCCATCACAGTGACATCGTCAAAACTATCCTCTAAATGGTGGCGTAAACGGAAATTGCCCTCCAAGGTAATTTTGAGAACCCTTCAACAAGAAGAAACCTCCTTTAATAAATCACTTTCAAGGCCCCAACAAAAGCCCGCAACCATGGTGACCCCGGCCAAGCATCTGCATCTCCGGCCCGGACATGGCCAGCAACTGCTCTTGCCTGCGTCGATCGAAATGAAGCCAATGCCACGCTGCTCATTTGCTCAGCCAAGCTGGGCAAGCTGCAAGAAAACTGCAGACATAGTGCCAGGGGTGCTCCACCCCCTTGTTTGAAACGTTGAAAACCCTTTTCCTTTTTAAGCAGGCTCCTTTGGGTTTCCCTTGACAGGTGCCAGGCTCAATATGTAGCCAATGCCAAGCGATGGTTTAGCCCCGAAAGATTGAGAGTAAACACAAACGGGATTGAGAAATGTTGGGTGCCCGGTTGTGGGAATCATTCACTTTTGGGGAGCTGCAGGTAATCTAGGCACTGGGCAAACCCTGACATCCGCGGCTTGTGAACTATGGTTGGCTTCATTGGACATCAAGCAAATTGTAACGGGGATCCAAGCTTCTGCAGCGCAATGTGTTCAACTTGCCCCCGTGGGCGAGGAGGGGAAAAATCACGGCTTGCGTCACCTCACCTGTTCTGGAGGTCAAAACGCCAGCTGCCCAGAGAACTTGTGAATTTTGGTTCACCAAAGCGCAGATCGTCAGGAAACCCAGAATGGATTGATTCCCCTGTAAAATTTCAAACAACATGATATGGTTTCAACCATGGTTTCAAATTTTGTGGGGCGGTGCCTACTTAAGCGGATTTCGCAGCCATCCGGTGCGACACCCCTCCCCACCCCACCCCACCCCACCCAGCACCCCACCCACGCCTCAGCTCCAGCAGCCCCAGCGCCAGCGCCGCCAGCGCGGGCTCCAGCGGCAGCGGCCCGCAGAGCAGCTCGTCCCAGAGCTCCAGCAGCGCCTTCCAGCCGCAGCCCGGGCCCCGTGGGCCCTTTTAGCCCCATTCCAATGGGGTAGCTTCCCATAGGTGTCCTAGGGGAAATAGATGGGTGCCCTGGTAGATGATGCAAAACCACCAGGTAAATCAGGAATCGCCATCTATTTGCTTGCCAAAACAACCAAGAAGGACACCTATGTACCTTCCATTTTCATGGCTAGGGAGCCTTTCTGTCTAGAAACCACCCAAAACCTTCGGGAAATTGCGATCGGTTTTTGAAACGAACCATGGTTGAACAGAATGGTTGGAGTCAACCCCATCGGATTGGCGTCGAATTTGGGTCGAAAATCGCAGCTCTACCGCTGAAAGTCCAAAGAGAGAGCCTCGAAAGTGGAACCCCGAAAGAACCACAAGGAAGCCTGAAAAAAAGTGAACCCAATGCCCGAAGAAGCCCTCCCTCAAAAACTTGCGGGTGCTCAGTAGGGAATGACAAGTCTGGGTGTTGGGAATGAACCAGAAGGGGATTCCCTGAAAGGAAACCTGCTGAGACCCAGCAAGAACAAAGTGGAAACCCAAAAATGGGTCGTAGCCCATCCGGTTGTCTCCAAATGGATCACGGGTGTGAAAAATAAGCCGAAATATGCCACAAACTGTTGCCTTGATCAGTTTCAGAAGGGGATTCCCAAGGTACAACAGAAAGTTGCAACCCAGTCCCGACTTCCAAGAACCTTCGGTTTCCCTTTGCTTTTACCTAACTCGGAAAACCCTTCCTTAAAAAGATGGCCGACGCCCCAAACCACCCGGTGAACCCTGTGGACCCGCTGCGGGCCGTTTGACCCCAAAGACCCGCAAACTATCGGGTTTTGGGATGGGCGGAGTGTCCTTTTGGCTTTCCTTTAAAGAGCAAAAGACGCCCACAAGTACTGGAACCCAAAACGCCAGGGGCGGTCTTGTCTTCCCTCCGCAACTCGAAAAAAAGGGAACCCGCAAAGAACGAGATGCGTAGGTTTGGGCTGCTCTCGAAGATGGCTGGGTTTTGTATCGGTTTCCCTTCGCAAGCAAATGGGGGTGGAACGGGGGGCAACAAGCAACACACCTATGTGGTTTCTTGTTGGATCATTATGATGTCCGATTCAGTGTCCAATGAAAACGCCAAAGCGCTGGGAGGCATAGTGTTTCCTCGGCAAATGAATACGCCCGGAGCATGGTCAACATCACTTGTTTCCCTAAGGGGAAACTACGTAGACAAAGTCCCCTGATGGGTGAGTCCCCCACTTCTCAGATGGATGACCAAACCTTGGAGTTGGTCAGACCCACGCCCCACAGCACCGCCGCCTCCAGTGGCAGGCAGTTGGCAAAGAGCGTCAGCAGCCATGGCTGCAAAACCTGCGCAGTGGCTGCAAAAAATGAGCCTTTCCAAAGCACACCTGGGTTTGTCTGAACGCCCCGGATGTGGGTTTTTATTTGGTTCCCTTGAGCGAGGAACATCGGGCATAGAACGCGCGATCGACCACTTGCTTAGCGCCATGTAAGAACAAACAGAAAAAGTTTGATACCAGCCATATCTCATAGCCAGCTTCAGGTTCACAGTAAGCTCAATTTCCAGACTCATCAGAGTTCCGCCCTGATGGATCACTCCTCATGTTGGGAGGCATCTAAGATAATTATATTCATCCAGAAAACAACAAGAACACATGAAGATTGGGTCAGTTCCACAAGAAGTGCAAGAAGTGCGTCGATATACCCACAGCAAGACACACACCAAGCATCTTTTCACTGAACCTGCAGCACGTGTCAGGTCAGGAGAAGTGAAAAAAACCGAAGGAAATCCGTGCTCTCCCTTTTCACCTTCCTGCCCTTCCTGCCCTTCCTGTCCCCCAAAAGTTGGACCCCCCAAGATGTGTTCAGATGCAAATTTGTGTATTTGGCCGCCAGCCTCAAAACCGAGCATATCTTCTGGGGTTCAGTTACCACCAATCAATCAACGGGGGGGTGATACAAATATCACCAGCCTTATTTACTAGGTCCTCCAGTAGAGAGGTTAGAATAAGGGCACCCTTTTATCTGTAGTCTATTTTAGTAGGGTCCCGAACCCTCCCCCAAGAAAGGGTAAAAGGACACTATGGAGGACCGGTAATTTACCTAAGGATTTTCATCCAGAATGGGTCCTTGTCATTCTCGTTCTGAGACGACCCCACCTGCTCCAGCATCAGTTCCTCCGCCTCCAAATGCGCTCGCAGCTGTGGCAGCCACAGCTTCACCAGGCGACCAATCTGCGACATAGACCTCCAGGGATCAAAACGAGAAACTGATTTACCCTCCCCCGGACGATTCCACGGAAGCTCCCCATTGGGAGAAAAAGGTTCCAGAGGTCTTCTGGGAGCTTCCATGTTGGTCGGGAGAGTGAATCTGCCAACTTCTTGCAATATGTCCAAAAGCTAAATTCAGGGATCGCCAAGTAAAGGACCTGCAAATCCTGGTGAGATCGCTTTACCCCCGAATCTGTGAGCTCGCCATAAACTCGGCACATTCATTCAGCTTCTCTCTAATTGGTGGTTGGAGCCGAATCGGCGATTTGCTGGGTTTCCCATCTACCCTCCACAAGAAGCAGAGGTTCAAATCCCCAAACCACCAATCGAAACCACCAATTAGGGGTAACGTGAAAAATTCAACGGGACCAAACTCGGAAGTAGAAAGTCAGACCCACCTGATATTCTCCCCAATATTGGGGTTGATGACTTGGGGAAGCCATGTCAGCCCATATCAACTTGGTCCGACTGGCCCGTTTGAGATATACAGATGAACAAAAAACAAGCAACTAACACTGGCCTCATTATTTTACCATGATCAAAGTCACCCCCGAAGTGGTGGGTTCAAGGGAAACAGTCCCATTTTCTGACTTTGATGACCCATAAACCGTCAAAATAATGATCCCAGAGACACCCAGGACCAAAACTCAATTTCTGCAGGCTGCCAGATGGATCTTCCAACTTGAGTTTGCGAATGTTGGCGCGATAGGCAGGGAATGAGAAATGGAAAGACCCTTATAAACCATCCCTTGTGGTTTCCTTCAAGGGGACGGCTCAGGTTCAGTCCCTCATTTCCTAGGGCACCAGCATTGTTTTTTCGAACAATTAGTGGTAACTCGAAGCACGGTTGGAACCCAAAGATGAAAGGTCGATGATGGACCAAACCTCGGAACGATCAGGAAGAAAACATGCCAAGATTGAGGACAAGTAAGCATAGCACCTGCTTGGCCGTGATCATCATTTTCCCTCACCTGCAAAGATGGAATAAATTCACTAAATTCACTCAGATCCCCTGCTAAAAAGCTTAGCTTTTAGTGGGTTAAATGGAAACCCAACCACTGAACCAACAAATGTTAAACCTCAAAAAAATGCTAGGTTGAAGCGGATGGCTGCTTGAACCGTCCTCCAAGTGATGCTACAGCCGTCACCCGAAGCCCGCAGCTTTAGACACTAGCGCGGGCCTTTGCAGGCCCACCATGCCCGGCTCGTAGAAGCTATGCAGGCGAGTCATGAGCCCTGAGAAGGCCTGATAGCTTGGAATGCTTTCTCCGGTTCTGGGTTGGTTTTTGGTATATTTCTGGGATTACACCCTTGGGAAATGACCCAGAATGGGGCAAACTCGGTGTTCGCCGGAAATGCGCCTGAATGGGGTCAATACCCGGTGGGTGTACTCCCAGGGTGTACTACAAAAACCCTTAGATCTTAGGGACCCACAGGTGAGCTAAGGGGCCATGACTGAAGGACTTCGGGCCAAGGGCAACCCATACAAAAGGAATCAAAAGGCCAATCTAGGGGAACCAAAAGGTGAGGTGAACAATTCGCCTTGGGCAAGTGAGTTGTCATGCGGAACCGCCCTACTCTGGATGGACAATAGACTGCACCAAATGAGATGGATGAAACCCATCAATAATGAGACAAACCAACCACCAACTGGTGCAAAAGAAATGTCGATCCACTGTATGAGCTTTAGTCGGCATCAGGCCCTTTTCTGACCAGCAGGGTTTTGGCACTTTTCTTGAATCATTTCTGGGGTTTCGGGCCACCCGCTGGCAAATGAGGGGCCCACAAACTAAACAGCACCAGATGAACATCATGGCGCCCAAGAAAGGATCCAAACAACAAGAGGGCGCAGCTATGCAGTGTGTGCAGCTCTCCTCACCATCGCCGAAACTTGTCGCAACCCAGCTGCAGCTCAGATAAGGAAGCTCAAGGTGCCGCTGCAAGAAGCACGGGGCGCGCAGAAATTTGGCCGAGGGAAGAGTGTCAAGGTCAGAGACTCTGCACGGCGGCCCAGAAAGAATGGTCTGGAAGCAGGAGGCGCGCAAAAAGTATGCAGGCAAGAAGGCCAGCCAGCCCGGCCGGAATACAGCACAAGGCCAAGGCGGAAGGACTCGCTTGAAGTTGGAAGCCTTTCTCTTTGCCCTTATTCCGGAGAAGAGTTTTAGGGGCATAGGGATGTCAAACAGAATGCTAGAGTTTGAGCGAGGACTCTCCGGCAGAAGTTGGGTTTCCTCCCATCAGGATGTAGCGTGTTTTTGCTCAACGTGTTTTTGCTCAACGTGTCGGAGGAAATCTACATGGAGGCATGCAGCCGAGTAGTGCTGCTGTATAGGCGATGCCGCAAGTGCCACAGCTACCGGAGTGTTCTTGAGCACTCTCTATTCGAGGGCTCTGGTGTGCGCTGGTGTGCGCTGAAGAAGCGAAACGGCACACGCAAATACTGGGAATGTACGGTTCTCCTCGACATAGAGTTTGAGAGTCGCCTAGATGGATGAAATAAGACAAGACTCTAGCTCGGTTGCTATCTGCTCCCCTGCTAAAAGTTAGTGGTTAATGGAAAACCCATTAGTTGGCAAAAAGTTAAAGTCCTAACATCCAAGCAACATGCACCAAAGCTAGTGTGCGCCTTGCGTAGTGCGGTAAAACGGGAACGCGGACGGCTCGGCTGGGCAGATAAACATGGCACGCTACCATTCCCGAACCCCCACCCCACCCGCCCTCGCTGTCATCAACATAACGAGAGCTTGCAAATGTGTTCCGGTCGGGGGCGTGACACCCTTTAGTCAGAGTGCCCGATCTGGGTACGACCATTTATGACCGGGGTTGCCTATACTTGCAACTGTGATTATGCTTTGAACAGGGTAGGCCCATGGAAAAACGAGGCCAAGAAGGGCATGAGTCCGCCAGACACCTCATGGGTTTGTCTTCAAGGGAAAGCCTCTGGTTTAGCATCAGCGCTCCAAACACGACCTGCTAGGAAGTTGGTCGAAGGGAACCAAAGGAAGCAAGTCCAATTTTCTATCCTTGGGGCTTTTGGTAGAGGTAGAGGTTGGCAACCTGTCAGAGCCGCTCGCACAAGCAACTGCACTGGATGTTGTCTTAAAAAACAAGTAAAGAACCGTCAAAGGACCTTCATTTCTGGGTAATATTTTTTTGTAAGCCCGCTTGCCCGAATAGACACAACAGCGGCAATCCATACTCATGAACTAGGGACCCTGCTTGGCTGGCTTTGAGGACACCCAATTAAAAAAGAAAAGAGAAGAAAACAAAACATAAACAGGAGGAACACACTTTTGAAGCAGCACACATGATTGCCTGACCCCACCCCTATTCTTGGGGGGGAAGGGGGGTTGTTCTGGGGTTGTCTTTTGAGCACACCCGCCTGGGAAAAGCCTGGGAACCTAAACCGAGGCCTTCGAAAGAGCTTGGTTTCCAGGGGCCCAAATTCCCATCGCCTTGCTCGGAAAGGGTCCCGAATGAGGGGTGGGAATGAAGAGGAAGGGGGTTCCAGAATAAAACGGAAACTCAGAAAGGAAACTGCCACAAGAACGGGTTTTATGGGGGGCATTCCATTTCTCATTCCCTGAGAACCAGCAAGCCTTGGCTTGATGGTGGCAGGGATCCCGAAAGGTTTTTTTGTCTTGATCTTCACACGAAGCTCAACCAGGAAATATAGGGACCCCTCACAAACCTCCCCCCCCCGGAACCAATCGCCCGCCACACGCTTGCATTGCCTGCAATGCCTCCTCCTCGTTTTGGGCCACCAGTAGCAGCACCGCAGCAACCAAGCTCATGCCTGAAGGTCAAAAGGATGTGTGTTTGGTTGGCATCCACTTCAGGTTGGTTCACAGGAAAAACAGGAGGGAAACCCGACAATTTCTGGCTATTGAGAGAGAACCAGAAGGAACAGCCACCATTTTTTTGGGGGGGGGAAGGGGGGGTGCCATTTTGACAAATACCCATGTGGGGGAGGGAGCCCTTTGCCCGATGCAAGCCAACTGCTTTCTACGCGGCGTAACTGCAAGTCACACAACTACTCTATATTGCCGGTTCCAATGGGCCAACCAGGAGCTTACAGTGACCCAGGGAAGTCAAAATTGCTACAACCAAATGATACACAAACGCATGTTGGAGAAACCAAACAGGATGTTGAACAGGTCTGGACAGATTGAATGATTCTTTATACCCTTTTTGTTTCTTCCATTTGCTTAAGCCCCCCCCCCCCGAAAAAAATGTGTCCAGTAGCAAAATTGATTCCCTTCAAAACCCAAGCAGGGGAAAAACATCTTCATAACAGCAAATGGAAGCCTGGTCCTAGGTCCTCCAGATTTGAGAGGTTAGAACAACTTGGTACCCACTTTTTTCTGTGGTCTATCTTAGAAATGGGGAACTTCCTCCCAACCAACAAAAGAAACCACTAAAAGTTGGCGGACCAATTGCTGGGGGGGTTCGCGTAGGGTCTATGGGAGGGTTTCGGGTGCGCGCCGCCGCAGCGGGAAGTGCGGGGCCTTGGCAATAGCCCAGCTCGTCTTCCGCGAAGGCGCGGCAGATCCGCGCCAGCGCGGCCCGTTGCTCCGGAGGGGCCAGCCAGGTACGGCACACGTCCGCCTAGCAAAAGGTTACGGTAACCGAGGGACCCAGAGCCCAAGAATTTGAAGGCGTTTGACCCCCAAGAAGGAAACATGAACGGATTTGGACCCTGAATTTCAAGGCTTTCGACCCGACCCCTAAAGACCGCGAAAGTGACCAGATTTTGGGGTTTTAAGGGTTCCAAAGACCGCTAGAAGCTTGGATCTGGAACGGAAGTCAAAATTGTCTCGAGTTGGATCAGGCTTTTAAGGCTCGGAGCAGTGAAGGGCTTGCATGGCTGGCCAAAAGGCAAACGGAGAACCTGGGGAAAACCTCATGCCCCAGTTTGGAGGATCTTTGGATCCCCCCCTTGGTACTTAAGGATCTTGCTAATTGGACCTCCAAGCCAAAGACTACCCTCAAAAGGCACTTGATTCTGTGTGTTTCGGCGCGCGCGTCTCAGACGTAATATTTATTCTATTGCCTCGATGTGGTGCTCGGCAAGCAACTGTGAAGTGAGTAACCACCGTGTGTTCCCTTTAGGAAATGTCACAATGGTTCCGGGTAACCTGTAAAGGGGAGTCACTGGGTTACTGTTGAGGATTCGGTTGGAATGACAGGAGACAGAGATCATTGGTTTGGATATGTGAGTCACAATATGTGACAATTACACCCTGTCTAGCAAACCATGTCTGACCGTGTGGCAGCACCTATTTCTGGCTGGGACTGTCCATGACTGCCCTTCATTTAGCCGGGTGAAATCGTGGTTCCGGTTTCGACTTGGATGTGAACCTGCAGCTCCTGAGGTACCCAGGATCACCGCCGAACTTACAGCTTGTTGTCTCACCAACAACGGTGTGGCTGGCATAAATCCAACCGAGCAACAAAAACAACGTGGGTTAACTCGAGTTTGAGGGGGTGCAAAGCTTTTCTGTGGCTTGTCAATGCTAAGACTATGACGCTTGTACATGATTGAACGAAAAGCATCATGAAAGCAACCACATCAAGAGTCCCCAAGTCTTTACTGCCCCTTCCGAAGGCTTCTGGTCTTATTCTTTCAACAAGGCTGGTATCCAAATGTATGGTTTCCTTTCAATCTTCCCCATGAAACCATGGAAACCCCACGGAAGCGGAGTCTCAACCGTCGTTGAGAGCTTAGAAGAAGGGTGCCCGATTTTTTTTCTGTAGTCTATTTTAGTAGGGTCCCGAACCCGACGAACCAAAAAGGGGAGAGAAGAACACTACCGGCAAACCTAGCCCAAGCTGAACCCATGGAAACGGAGTCTCAACCCCCCCTATCGTCGCCTCAATGAGCTTCTGCCAGCTGCCGCTCCGCCCCCTCGCCGGCTTCGCTTGCGACGGGAGGTGCCGCAGCGCCTCCTGGCACGTGGCTCGAGCGGTTCGGCGGCGATTCGAATGGGGCTTGCCCTCCCTGCCACTTGCTGGCACGATAAGCAGGGAATGAGTTGGAATGAACCGTTTGGGATTCCCTTAAAGGAAACCATACGGGATGGTGTAAGCAGGGAATGAGTTGGACTGGACCGTTTGGGCATTCCCGAATGAAGGAAACCAACGGAAATGGATGGTTTATAGGGGTCATTCCATTTCTCATTCCCTGCTGAGCACCAGCAAGACTAACATGGCAACTGACAGGGACCCGGTCCCTTTTAAAAGGAAGTTCATCTTGGTACAACCCCAGGATGGTTGCGAAGTCCATTTCGCAAAATTGAAACCACGGTTGAAACTATAAGGTTGGCGTTGATACGTACAGGCGAAATGGATTTTGCAACCATCCACGGAATCAAACTGAATGGGCCTGTGATGAAACCTATTTGTAATTGTATAGCCTCTTGTGAGTCGAATAGGATAAGGTGTTCCTTTTCGTTTCCCTTTCAACCAATCGAACAAAGGGTGGTTGCAGGGAAGCTGAGGACATGTCTGAAATTTACAAAGCGGAAATCAGAGACTTTCATGAATGAGCTCGCGCAGTTCTACTTAGAGGGTATTCCGTTTCCAAGGTCTCAAAGAATTTGGGCCCCGCACAATTCCCTCTAAGTAACAAAGAAAGCAAAACCATGGGTTAGTGCCATCTTCGAAAAATAAATGCATCAAGAAGATCATCAGCTCCCAAGAAAGGCTGGCCCAGCATTCTCCGCGCTGGTGCGATAGCTAGGGAATGTGGTTGAATGAGCCCAGGCTGAAAGGAAACCACCAGTTGGATTCACCACCTGGATGGCTTTTGTTTTATCCGGGCATTTGGCTGTCAAAACCCGTGAATCCAAATAGGTGGCAAATGGCTGTGGCTCAAAAAACCGGAATTCCAAAATGGGTGGCCCTGGTAAGTGCAAACATGGACCAAAACCAGCGGTTTGCCCCTCCTGTTTAATGTTGAGCCACATTCAAATGGATGTTCCACCCCAAAATGGGATCGCCATACTGCAACCCATGGCCATTTCTTCTCTCGAATCCACGGATCGCAAGCTTCGAGTCGGGGCAAGGCCTTCCACCGGCTCCAGCGCTCTGAGGGCGACAGCCGCACCAAAACGACGACGACCTCGTCGAGCCTTCGCCCGAAGCAGCCCTCGAAGCAGCGCATGCCATAGGGGCGAGGAAGATTCCACCGGACCGGTGGAAAACGAGCTGCCCGCAGATTTGTGGGTCTTTGTCTAAGGGTACCCTTTGCTGGTTGACTTGAAAGGGAAACCAGAAGCAAACCAGCCATTTTGCTTTGTTTTTGATGAGAGTACCTTTTTTTTCGTTGGTTTAAAAGGATACGGAGCCCGATTTTCAGGATTTCCACAACTTTTGAAGGGTGTTTTGCCGCATTTGCAACACAAGTTTGGAGCTTCAAAAGAGGACCGGGGTCTTGAAATGACAACTGTGAACGGATCTACAAGACGCCGATTGTTCCTTTCCCTTCACCTTCGTGAAGTGAACATCTGGGGGCTGTCCAGTTGACTGAAATGCCGAACAAGAAACTGGATTTGGCAGCCATACTGAATATCCTGCCTGGCTGGTGGGAAGGCAATTGCTAGTTTGCAAAAGCAACAAGTGCATCTTATCTTCATGCAATATGTGTTATATATACATATATACTGTACATCAAAATAGGCGACCCCCCAAAATGGTCGTTTTCCTGGGTACCCTCCAAAAAACACACGCCCAATGCTGCAGCCAGAAGCTGCGCAAGCACCGCAGCGCGATTGGTGCGTCGTCGCGTTCGTCTTCGAGACGACTCAGTTTCCGGCCAAGCGAAGCCCTTACTTCAGGAGCGCGCGCAGTGGAAGCCACCCCTGGGATGGTTTCAAGAAAGAGGCACGAAGCCGGGCCTGCAAGCTCTCAGTTGTTGCCAGAGCTTGAGAGATTGCACATGGCGTGTCTCTACTAATGCCCTTTTCCGGGCTTGTGTTGGCAGCTTTAAGGCAACCCACCCTAGGGGCCCTTGAAGCGAACGTCGGTGCAGTGGGATCGTTGGTTTGAAGGGACCCTACCGCAAAGAAGATCAGCGGAACCCACTGGACACTGATGAGCAGACGCTTCACAGAGCCTCAGCCGCAAAAAGCAGAACTCCCTGCCGAGTATTCCCCTTCTTGTTTGCAGGTGATGCAGCCCGCACATAATATTCGAAACATGCTTCAACGTGTGTGTGTGTGTGTGCTTGATAAATCGGACAAACCCTGTTGGTGCTGGTTGCAACGCAACATGTCGGCGGATGCAAAGGAAGTACACTCATGTAGAAAACACCTGTACTAGAAAACAACTTTCGCACCCTGCTGAAACCAGACAAACGTGTTGCGTGTGACAAAGCTCTCTGATGTCAATGTGTGTTGATGTGGTTGGGCATAAGTCGTGCTTAAGGCGGTCTGCGTGACAACAGACCTGTGCTAATTGTTGCGAAAACAAGGATGAAACCACAAACGCTGCCCAATCCACGTGCCCTTCTCCAGCCGGCATTTTCCCGCCTTGTCTATGACAGCGAGTGATTGCAGCCCCAAACCCCACGACCAACGCATGGCAGGCTCAACGCTGAGTGGTACACATGATCCAATTCAGCCGCACGATGTATGTGTGTGCCGCCTTCAGCAAGCTTGCACTTATGGTCTGAACAACCAACTCTCTATATATATATACAGTGTATGGCTATTATGCGCATGAATATACAAGTATACTACAACTGTATATATTATGTATATTATTATAGGCAAACGGTCATGTTCGTAAACAGACAACGAGCCCATGACTATTTGAGGTTTGAGGTCTGCCTTCGCGTGAGACGCCTTTTTGTGTGGCTTGCGGTTTCGCAAGCCAAGCAGGCTGCCTCTCCAAGATCCGAATGCACATACCGCTCAGCGTCGAAGAAGTTGGACCAATATCGGATTGATCGCCGCCAACAGTAAACAAAATCGCTGCATCTTTCAAATAACTATCGGCTTCTTAGGCATGCGATTTGAGACACGGAAAAGCTGGACCGAGCAGCAGAAAAGCCTTATGTATGTCATCTTATGTCCTTCCACATACTGCCCCGAAATGCGTGTGGTGAATGGCCTTCTGCATTTGGGTGATTCCGAAAATTGGCGAGTCCGACTTGTAGTTGGCGTTTGAAGAAGAAAACCACCAGCCGTCTTGTTTGGAGGTCTCTTGTTTTTGTTGCGGGGCACGAATTTGGAGGCACCCAATTCTATTCCTCTGAGGTTGGGAAAATCGGATCGCTCATTCTGCTGGCGGGTTCGGGGGAGGTCCGTAGACGGCGCGGTTGCAGCTGTACCTCGACGCGTGCAATTGCTGAGGACTGGATGGTTGCTTCAGACCAGTGGCCAGGGGGAGAAAAGGAAACTGCCTGGATAGCCAAGTTGCGGTTGTTTTCAGTCACTGGTGCTGGTTCCAGGGGTTCCTTGGCCACGACAAAAAGGCTTGGTGGGACTACCCTCCCATACACGTTGCCATGAGACGTGACTCACGGGGCCGTTTAATTCAGCGTAAATCCAGTGGCCGAGTGGCAGAAAAATGACGTGTTTTGTTTGGGTTGACCTTTTTTAGTCAGGTGGGGAACCCATGAAACTAAAAAACAAACCTTGTGCGTGTCAAATAGTGAGAAAGTCACTCTTAGTACCAAAACTCAGTTCCTGAGTGGATTGACCCAAAAAGGTCCGAACATTTTGTTTACCACTAACAAAGTCTTCCCAAAACGTTTGAGGTCCAGGAACTGGGGAGTGACAAAAACTGGGGCTCACAGGTCCCATGCTGGGGAGCCGAGCCAAAAGGGCGGCGACGCATGGCGCTCCGCGATGTTCGGCCCGGTCAGCCGCGCGCTGCGGCTGCCGCCTGCAAAACTGGCTGGATCTCAGGAAATCTCAGGGAATGGATTTTGTGGATGGTTGCGAAAACCATCTACCACACCAGAAGAAACCCTGCAGGGGTGCGAGCGGATTTGGTCCATGCACGGTAGGAACTATGTTTTGTTGTTCCTGTGAGGGACCCCAAACCGTTCAGTCCCCAAACACTCGACATTCCTGAGAACCAGTATGAATCTAAGATTGTTTCCACTACAGCCTATACACAAGGGGAACAGGGTTTACGACACTCAACTGCCACCATATCACCTTGCCCCAAGAAGATTGAGTCATTGAAGGTTCAGCGAGCCTCAAGAACCAGGGGCTCAAATCTTCAACCAATCCATAGGGATGTATTATGTATATGCATATATATATATATATATGCAACACACGTGTAGATATATATATATACATATATATATAGCTAATGAAAGTATATAGAAGAAACATGTACCTTGTTCTCCCTTGCGGGTCCCAAAGGGTCCCTCAAAGGTTCTTCAACAGCAGGTACCGTGGAATCTCTGAAGAATCGAAGCAGTGAGCCTCTCTGCCCAATCGGTTGTTGTGAGGCGAAGAAACCTGTGCCCTCGACCGCCATCGATCACAACATGTCGGGACCCATGAGACGTCACAAAAGACGTGATAAACATGTTCGTGTCCGAATCCCTAGACCACAAAAAATAGCGACTTAAAAATCAGGTGGGCCTGTCTGTTGTTCTTAAGGGGAGACCAAAGGGATACTAACCACTTTTGGGGTCCCCTGAAAAAGACAAACCAATCCGTTCGATTGCTGCTTCACAAACTGAGTCAACTTAAAACAAACAGTTACCGACCCAAGAGGTGCTCCATCAGTGAAGAACGACTCAAGGAGCGGTTTCTCAGCGGCGCCGCTGCGACTTGCTGCTCTTAGTTTGCCTTTTCCTCCATTTGCTCAAGCCCTCGCACAAAACAAATGATATTTCCAATAGTCATAAATTTCCTTGAAAACCAACAGGGGAACATAACACATATTCATTTCAGCAGATGGACGGTTTGCAGTTTGGAGTCCCTTTAGGTTTTGTGACTCACTCTCAGTGCCCCGCTGCTGCGGGAGATATCGTGGAGCTTCGGCCTGAAAAGAGCTGAAATCTAGGCCCACTGGATCGAATTTACTTCCATGGGGTAGTCCAAACCAAAGTTATGAAGTTCTGACTTTATGCTTCATATTTTAGCCGACCCCAAAGTGATAGTTTCTGAGGAGATGCCTTTGGGTGTGGCTTCCTTTTCCCAGCCCAAAATGGTTAGGACGTGAAGCAACCCCTTCCCCAGTCGGAAAACGGGAGCATCTTGGGACAACCCCGAAGGGGCATCCCTTCGGCTGGGTTCGTATGGAGTTGTGCCACATCCGCATCTGGGCATGTGCTGTCTTTAAGGTTCAACGCGAAAAACCAGGAGCACCGAACTCCATTTTTCCAATTTCGTCATTATCTTTTGGCTTGGCATGAGTGGCTTGACCCCAGGCAAATGTGAAAAGGGGGAAACGGCAAGCTCTTTGCTGAGCAGGCGGAAACCCCAAAGGGCACAAAAGGCAAAGAGTTCAGTCTAACAATGGATGCGTGAATGGACATCAGTCCAACCAATCCATTGGGGAGGCCCACTTATCCCTTTCCAGGAAACGCCCCGGCACGTTGGGGTTGTGGCAACTGGACGCCCTGGGGCTGATTCCAATCCAACCATATAGCATTTCCAACAAGATAGTGGCAACTCACCGACAGTGCCCCTAAAACCGTGAGTTCGCGCCGCAGCCGCTTAAATTGTGTTAAAAAGAAAATAGTTTGACAAACGATTCGCAGAGCTAAGAAGAAGCTCCCTCTTGGCTTGTGATCCCAAAGGAGTCCGCTTGGCTCACATCTCCTGGTGCCCCCTGGAGGCTAAGTACAAAGCTAACCCAACTACCAGGGCTGCCGTTCCTTTTGCTTTTGTCTCCAAAGAACATCCGAATTGTTCAGCGCCGAACGTTTGAATGCAGGAGAAGGAGCCCTTTCGCCTGTGCTGGCTGCTTCACCGGCAAGGGATTACTCAACTGGTGCTTTTAAACTTGCTGTTTCTCAGCAGGGAATGAGGGAATGAGGTTTCTTTCAAGCGAATTTCTTTCAAGGGAATCCCTGGGTTCATTCCCAACACCCTGGGGCATTCCCTACTGAGAACCAGCAAGTACATGGCCGTGGACGAATCAAACAATTGCTCATCCCCTTTTAGGGTCCCCTAAAAAAAAATAAGGTCTCATCCAAAAGGATTGCGAAAAACACACCCAGTTTGAGACATCCCCATGTTCCAACGT